AAGGGAATTTACAGATAACGCTTTTGACTGTGAGGAAGTTATATATGGACTTCTTGAACTTCAAGCACCAAAGTAAATTTAATCAATCTTCTTCAAGTAGCTCGAGTTTGGAAGTGATCACGAGTCAGAAAGATATATATTGCACTCAGTGTATGATCATGAGTAACTAAGACGCATTAAGTGTAATTCTTGATATTGTCCTCCCGCATCTCCAAACCGAGATAAGATTTTTTGTTTTGCACCTTAAGTTGGAGCTCAAACTTGGTCCCCGTTCAAAGATTTTACTATGTTTATTTTTACTGTTAAAATAAAATATGCCACCTAGAGTGGTTGAATTTGAAATAAATAAAATACGAAAGATATAATAAATAGAGTAGAATAATTAAAGCAGTAAACAAATTATCTAATTCGCTCCCAAGTCCATGTGCTGCCTTCACCCGCATGCTGCTAAGTCATTCACCATTGCTCACCTTAGTGTGGTCACGTTTTGAATAAAGCTCCCACATCTTTGCTACATCAGGAAAATAAAATTATTGTTTGACTACAAAAGAGAAAAAGAAAATATTAAGAAAAGAAGTTTTATGATAGAAGGAAATAATATTTGAATAGGAGAAATTTACCAAAAAGAGTTCAAGGATATTTTCTATAAATTCATTGCATTGTACTGAGAAGAATTACGCTTGGCGACGTGAATTCGGATATAGAATTATGTGCATCCAAAATTGTGAGAGATTAGAGAGAGAAAATGTAAAGAGAGGAATTAGATAAAAATGGTAAGAGCGGGTTTGATCGTACGTTGCGCATTTTAGTTGGGTAGGAAGTTGTAAGAGTGAGGATAATATTGATCTGTGATGTTTTCTCAGCTAATAAAATTTTCTTCTCCTATGATTGTTACAGTTTGTTGAACTACGTTAAATTTGTATTTTCCCTCTTTTTGGCTTATTTTTTATTTTTCGTTTTTACTGTATTTAGTGAAATTTTTCCCCAACATGTGGTATAAACGCTCATGATTCAAACTCTGAGATTGCGCTAAAGATGATGACAAATTTAAAGTTTGAGGTGGATTGTGGTGATGGGCTAGCATAAAGATGAGGTTGTGAAGATGATCGAGTCACACAAGGGTGGCGATTGAGTTACATTGATTGAGTGCATGTGGAGACGAAAATATGATTAAGTCACATAGACGTAGAGTTGTGCTGATCAAATGATGCGAAAGATGGTCTTTCGCTGTTGTCAAGGATGAAGTGGTGACGAAATCTACAAACGGTGATAAAAGGTTGAAAATCGTAGTGAGAGGAAACCAAATTGTAAGGTCATGAGTTGGATGAGTCTTTGAATTTAAACATGTGACATGACACCTAAACTACACATGATAGGTATTAGTTTCAACAAATCTATTATGTTATTTCATTCTGATGTTTGTACTAGAATAAAAATTTCACTGAAGCACCTTATCATACGGACTTTTCCCATATGAATAAAGACGTCCACTCCGCAGGCACTGATGGAATCTCATGTTTAATGTTTCATATTTCTAGTACGAGAGTGGTCCTGTTTGTTAAATGCAAGGTCGTGCGAGAATCTAATTATTATTTTTTTAAAAAAAATTAATGAAACTATCGACGACACAATCATTTGACGAAATAATCAACAAAATGTATATTATTTTATTGTTAAATACAATTTTTGAAGGAATTTTTACAACTCAAGGACAATAATTGCGTTCATCTTTATTTATATTTAATAACTTCATCCTACGAACTAAAATGACATTATTTATTGGTCATAAATGAGGAAGATTTATGTAAAATGTCTTGGTCGATTTTTGTCAATGTGAGTGTGTTTTTATATCAGTAAATGCTTGAGCCAAGGCTTTATATTCTGATCCATGGTTGAAGATTTTTCCACCACGGGTTGTTTCCTTGTAACTCCACCAAGTCCCCTCCATGCTATGTATATGTTTTAACATAAGGTTTAAATCTTTCAAAAAATTTAAATATTTAAATTTTCTTTATTTTATGTTTTCATTGTTTGATACGCACAACTTGAGAACACCCTCTATATATTTTTATTCTCTATTCTCTTGTAGTTTTTGACAAGTTGATATAAGAATTGTTTTCTCTATGATCGTGCTCATAGAAAGAGAACTAATTGTCACTTATAAGGGTTTTATCATGGAGACGTGTAATATCGAAAGTACCTGCATGATGGAAATGTCACACGATTTTAGAAAAACCTTTTTTCACTACTCTCTGGGCCAACTTTTCTTTCTTCTCAATTTTGTGTTTTTTTTTTATTATAGTTGATATTCTATTACACAAACCGTTTATTTTCTATGACACTATATGCCTAGATATTAGTTCATTTTTCATCTAAATTTCTGGCTCAATTTGCAGTAGCAAAATTCTCAAGCAACAGTTGAGAGGAACGCTTATGATGTTGGCCTAGTCATAGTTCGATGCCATGCACCTAAAATTTGAGAGTATTTCTATCGTGGGTGAGTTGAGAGAAGGTTTTAGGACAATTTGCAATGACTACAAGTTACCCATTGTTAAACATGATAAGTCAATTGTCGTAGGTTACTAAAGAAAACGTGTTGAACGTTATATGCACGATTTCTAATTCGGTGTAGTGGATAGAACTTGTAGTGTATACTTGATAGTACAAGAAGTTATTTGTTCATATGAATTTATATACTAAATTGAAATTGACGAGTCCCTAGTATTGTGTAGAATCAGTACTTATGTAATTGGAATCTCTTGATTAAGTGGTGCATGTCCATTGATGAATGTTTAAGGATTACATGTAATCTATAGCCAGTGTTGGTGTCAAAATGTGACATAACACTCTTTTTAATCCAACTTACAAGAAATTAAAAAGAAAAAAGATGAAGTAATGAGGTTGGACTAGTTTTAGTTCCGATCTCCACAGTTGTTACGTGTACTACAAGTATATTATGGTATCAAAATTCTCTAGATACAAATAGGGAATGATTCCCGTTATATAGTGGAGGAGTACAATTCAAACACTATCGTCATTTCATGCTAAAATATCTTACCTTGATTTGTGAGTCACTTGTCATATTAATTGTTTCAAGATCATGCAAATAGATTTATGGAATGTATTTAATTTAATTTTAAAAAATATGAAGACGAGTCCCAAAAGAGGAAAAATAAAAAAACATCGTAACACATGTTTAGCCTGTTTGGTAGCCTTTTTTTTTGAAAAAAAATATTGTTTTGAATAGTGATTTTTTTGGAAAATATGTGGTCAAAAAGTGAAAATTATTTAGGTTTACGTGCAGAATATTTTATTGTGTGAATATGATTGAAAATGAGTATATAAAAAAAAATAGTTTTAAAAAAATGGGAGACAAATATGGATTAATATTGTGTAAGTTTTGATCACCAATGAAGTAAGTAAACAACTAGATCATTGATCCTCTATAGTGTAAGACCTTGAGGATCACACGACTTATGTTATATTTTTTAAACTTTTGACTTAGTATTATTACTTTAGCATGTTAACAATGACTATTAGTGATTTCATTAGGCAATATATGTCTAGAAAAATACCAATTTCAAGTTGAAAATTGTAGTAGGAAACAAAGACTAATTTTAACAATGACTATTGTGGGGAATGTTTTGCATAATTAAGTTTAAATGTACGGAGTTTTATGCTAATAACCCAAGTAAAAACAAGGCCCAAAAAGTAATTATTATGGTCTATCCTAACCATGCAGGCTATCCCATTCTCCAAGAAATATACCAGGAAAAGTTGTATAGCTTACTCTTTTAATGAATAAATTATACAAATTGACAGGTTCTTCACCTACAAAATCTTCGACTTATCGCCCATTTTCTGGCAATATACGAAGAAACTGACTCGGTCTTGAAGAGTAACGGTAGTCTTTAAACTCATATTCAAAGTCTTTGTAAAAATTCCATTTAGTTTTCCATATTGAACTTTCATGCATTTAAAAACGGTTATTTCATGATTTGACATACTTGTTTTGCTTAATATTTCAAAGTGCATCTTTTCCAATAAATTTACACTGCAAGACTCATATTTATTTATTTATTTTTTTCTTTTGAAACCTCAAGACTATATCAAATCCCGTAAGATTCTTCATCTAGATAATATATGATTTTTTCAAGATTTTGTCGTTATCAGGTGTCACTGAAGGATTGGAGTAAAAGCTTTTGAATCAATGAAACATCCATTTTGCCATTTCAATAAATTAATCTGTTTGAATAAGTCAGTCATGTCAATTAAGATTCTTCTACATCTGCTATATATGTATTAAACGATTTAAGTCCATCAAGCTTTAAGTCGTTCGAAGACGTTCTTTTCTCTCCAGCTATTACATGGAAAAATACATTCTGCATAAAAAATTCTGTCATCTTCTGTTCTTCCTGTTCATCTTCTCTTCTATACTCAATCACACTAAAGCACGAGAAAATAAAAAAAGCAGCAATTGTCAAGTAGATCATCCTCGCACGATTCGCATAGGGTGTGTGATTGATCAAAGTTCTCGCGTTGGAAAGGAGCAGAAAATTGCCATTCAAATGGCTGTCAATGAATTTAATCAGTTGTCGAGTTGTTCAAAGTTGGCTTTGTACATTAAAGATTTAAATGGAACGTCATCTCGAGCAGCTTCCACTGGTAAAGTTTCTGCTTACTTATCAAAACAACCCACGTATTTTATGATTTTGTAGATGTTTCTTGAAATTTGTTATCCTGTCCATTTGATAACTCCGGCAGCCCGGTTAGTTTTTTGGTTTTATTGCTGAATTTTTGACTTTTTGAGAAAGCTAGATCCTCTATTCGGGAAAAAAAAATTATCAGCAACTTTTTAGGAGGATTAGTGATGGGATCAGAAATGTGTGGATAATATGAGTAGTAGTTTTGAAGTTGTGTTTGAAATTAAAGTTTGCCTGGGTAGTAGAAAGCAACTTTTAATTTATTAAAAGTGTTTCCCAAAAAATTATCCAATAAAAATGGCTCGGCTAATAATTCCATTTGAAGTTGCAGCAATTGAACTTATCAAGCACAAAAAAGTACAAGGGATTGTAGCAGCATTGACATTGGAAGAAGCGAGTCTTGTTACAGAATATGAAGAAGTGGCCAACACCCCCATAATCACAATTGGCTCAGCAGCCATTTCTCCATCACCACAACTTCCTGAAGCACACTCCGTTTTCCTGCTGAATAGTGATATCGGCATTCAAATGCAATTCACTGCTGCAATATTTGGACATTTTAGATGGCAAAAAGTCACGGTCATATGTGAACAAAGCAATAGCTTCTATGCCGATTCCAGACTCAGAAAACAACTTTCTAAGTCACTGAAACTGCATAATTCTGTTGTTGAATGCAATCTCGCATTTCCTTCCTTATCTTCTCTCCCAGAACCTGAAGGAAAGCTGAATAATCTCAGAAGCAAAAGCAGTGGCATTTTTGTACTTGTACAGTCTTCATTGGAGTTTGCTACAATTCTTTTTGAGAAGGCCAAAAAAATGGGAATCATGGAAAAAGGTTATGTTTGGATTGCGAAGGATGATATTGTTAGCCTAATTGAATCTGTGGAGGCGTCTTTCATCCAAAACATGAAAGGGGTCATTGGATTTAAGATGAATTATCAGGAAAAAAGCAAGCCTTATCGGGGCTTCAGTTTCAAGTTTCGAAGAAAGTTCAGATCAGCATATCCTGAAGAAGAACATCCATATCCAAGCATGTATGCTCTTCAGGCATATGATGCTACATGGGCCATTGTAAAAGCCATGGAACATTCTAAAGGGAAAATGAACTCAAGTGAACTGATAAATCATCTCTTTTCAATTGATTTCGAAGGTCTTAGTGGAAAAATCGGTTTCAAGAATGGAAAATTAATGCAAAAAAGTACCTTTCGGATAATTAGTGTGAATGGGAAAATTTACATAGGAGTGCAAACAGCTCCCAAGGAAAGGAAACTGAAAATTGGAGTTCCTGTACTGGCTGCTGTCAAAGAGTTTGTCAGCGTCAGGCATGATCAAGAAGAGATGACAACGTCCTTCAGCGGATTTTCCATTGAAGTTTTTGAAGCCGCAGTTAAGTTGCTTCGATATCATTTTCCTTATGATTTTGTTCCATTTAATGGCACTTACGATGAGATGTTGATTGCAGTTTATAATAAGGTAAGGGTTGTTAATCCTTTTCGCTTTGCTAGATGATAAATTTCTCCTAACTTCTTTCTTGCTAGGTTATTATGATATGTAATTCCATTTTTTTTTCTTTAATTAGAGTTTGGATGCGGCAGTTGCAGACATGAATATATTGGACGATAGATATGATTATGCTGATTTTTCACAGCCTTATATGGACTCTCAAATTGTTATGGTGGTACCTGCTAAAAATGATTTGGAATGGCAAAGATTCATTGCTGTGACGGCCTTCGAATGGAAATTGTGGGTGGTTATGGCAGCATCAAGCTTAATCACTGGAGCCATTATCTATTTAAATGAGTATGTGAACGACAATCCAGAGTTTGGAAATTCATTTCCTCAGATAATTGGTTCTATGATTTGGTTTTCTGTCACTCTTCTCTCATTTGCACAAAGTAAGTCTCAATTAAAAATGAAAAAAATTGATATTTGAATGAGAAAATCTTCTCTCTTTTTGTGTTATTGAGACTGCTAATCTTGTGCGTGCAGGGGAATCTATCAAAAATAATCTGTCACGATTGGTTCTTGCAGCATGGTTATTTGTGATTTTGATTGTGACAGCATCTTATACTGCCGTTCTAAGTTCTATGATGACAGTGCCGAGGCTCCAACCATCAATAGTAGATGTTCATTATCTTCAAAAAACTAATGCAATTGTTGGATGCAATGGGGTGGGTTTCATCCCAAGATATTTGACGCATACTTTGAAATTCAAGGAAGAGAACATCAAGAAAATTCGTTCTATCAGTGACTACAAGGAAGATTTCGAACAGGGGAAGATTGCGGCTGCCTTCTTTGTCAGTCCACATGCCAAACTTTTCCTTGCAAATAATAGCGAACGCTTCGTCATTGCAAAAATGAGCCTTGCACTTGGTGGTTTTGCTTATGTAAGATTCATATCCAAGTTAAATTAATATGCACTCTCAAGGTGGAGGTGTAAACCGGGCCGCTTAAGGCCAAAACAGTCTAATTTTGAGATGACCGTGCCTATATCCCAACAGTTTTACATACCACAACTATTAGCTTTCACTTTCACGTTAATTATACAAGTTTTATGGCCTATGCGGGGGTTGCGAGCCTCTACAGTTTGGCCCAATAAGGTCTTACTCTACAACAGGCCGCCACTCAGCACCCACAGCACGGCTCATGCCACATGCCTTAGTTACAAATTTTGACACCTCTACTCCTTGGAAATATTTTTTTTACCCTTTATTTTAACATGCGATGTTTTGGTTTTCTTATAGGTATTCCCAAAGGGTTCTCATTTTACTGCTGATATATCGAGAGCAGTTCTAAATATGAAACAAACAGGAGAGATAAATCAACTGGAAGAGCGTATCCTTTCCTTCTCAAGTGGCTCTTCATCCGATCAACAGATTGATGATTTAAGTTTATACCTTTCACAATTTTCAGGTCCACTTATTGTTTCAAGTGTGATTACCGCAATTGTATTGTTGATCATGGTTGTTCGTGTAATTCATAAACGATGGTCGATTCATGACTCCATACAATCTTCACTGATGTCTAGAAGGATTTCCAGATGGGCATCATTTCTTTTAGTTGCATTCCATGCAAGATTTGGCTCAGGATTCTTCGTGGCACCCATTATTCAGAGACAGAATAAGTTAACCAATATTGCCAGCGAAAACTGATAGCTGGAGGGCTAAGTGCTAACTAGGGCATCTAACCATATTTAAAATGTATACTCATTTTGACGTTTATACGAATAAATCTGAAGGCTTTTTTGTACTGATTGTCCTCTCCCTCCTCATGCATCAATCTTTATAGTTCCCACATGCATTAATTTATAGGGAAATTGATTTCCAGAATCAACTAATTGAGGCTGATTTCAAAACATTTTACAATGTCACGTTTCTTATAGCATAATTCGGTCCTGCTCGTCTTGTACCTTGTCCAATCGGGTTTAGATAAACGACTTCACTGGATACAAACTATCCTACTTATTTGAATGAGATTTACTTGCCTTATGACACGACCTGTCTCGGGTTTAAAAATCTTGCTTGTTTCATTGATGTGCAACATATATGCAGAATGATTAATTAAAATATCAACAGAAGGATTGGAGTAAAAGCTTTTGAATCAATGAAACATCCATTTTTGCCATTTCAATTAATTAATCAATTTGAATAAGTCAGTCATGTCAATTAAGATTCTTCTACTTCTGCTATATCTTCTATATATTAAAAGTATCTCCAGCTATTACATGGAAAAAAAACACTTTGCATAGAAAATCTGTCGTCTTCTGTTCATCTTCTCTGCTGTACTCAATCAGATTATAGAACGAGAAAATAATAAAAGCAGCAATTATCAAGTGGATCATCCTCACAGAATTCGCAGGATAGGGAGGGTGATTGATCAAAGTTCTCGTGTTGGCAATGAGCAAATAATTGCCGTTCAAATGGCTGTCAATGAGAAGTTTATTTATTTATTATTTATCTTATAAATAGATAAAAATGAGTGGTGGATATATAAGTGGATAGTACTCATAGATCCTGTTAAGGGATAAAATTTCACATCGAATAAAGATGAAAATATAAACCAACTTATAAAGGATTGTGTTACTCCTCTTAATAAGGTTAACATTTTAAGATGGAACCATAAATCTTAACATGGTATCAGAGTCCATTAAGCTCCAAAAAGCAATCTTGTTGTACCACAACAATTCCTCCCCTAAATATGTCACTCGTGTAACTCGAACTCATGATCCTAGTTCTCGTATCACTCGTTAGGATCGAATTTCAACTATCTCGTTAGAAAATTAACTAGTGTCCAATGAGGACACGCTAAACCTTTTATAGCATCCGATTACTATTGAGGGACTCATCCCGTGCGCTTAAGAGCGACTTTGTTGCACTCCAACAGAGAATATTAAAAAACATGGGGAGGAGCATGACTGCCTGACTTCCAACTTACCCCATGCGAGGCTTTAAAGCCCCTTAGAAAGGACCTTACTAATCAAGAACCCCAGGAAACTTCAGCCAAAATGACAACCAAGGGATCCAAAAGAAATTAACACATATCTAGACTATCAACTTATTTGTTGCTATATCCCTGAATCTGAAACTCTTGTTTTTAATTAGACGTTGGATGCAGCAGTTGTCGATACGAATATATTGGAACATTGATATCATTATGCTGACTTTTCACTACCCTATCAGAACTCTCAAATTGTTATGGTAGTACCCACAAAAAAGGATTTGAAACGGCAAAGATTCATTGTTGTGGAGGCCTTTGAATGGAAACTGTGGGTGGTGCTGGCAGCATTAAGCCAATGGACGGCAGCCATTATTTATTTCAATGAGCGGGTGAATGGCAATCAAGAGTCTGCAGATTCAATTCCTGAGATGATTGGCTCCAAGCTTTGGCTTTTTGTCACTCGTCTATCATTTGCACAAAGTAAGTGCCTACTAAATCTAAAAAAAAAAAAAAGTGCCTACTAGATATGACAAATTGATATGTCGATAAATTGGTTTGTTAAACACCGTTTAACATGACTTTTGCTTTTACTTCCTATACGAAAGTTTCTTGAAAAGTTACCTTCGTTTGAAAACTAATGCTTCAAAGATATATTTATTTCGAAAGTACTTTTAGAAGAAATCACAAAACTCTTATAATCGCAAGAAACACTTTTATAAAATTAGTCAAACGAGTTCAAAAGTATTTTATGGGTCTCAAAAGCTTTCTTTGCGATGATATTTATGTATTGATTTATTTGAATGAGAAATTGGTCACAAATTGCTAAACTTCTCCGTGCAGGAGAATCTATCAAAAATAATCTGTCACGACTGGTGCTTGTAGTATGGCTTTGTGTCATAGTGGTTATAACAGCATCTAATCCTGCAGTTCTGAGTTCTATGATGACACTTCCAAAGTCGAAACCATCTATAGTAGATATTGACTATCTTAAGAACACTAATGCAACTGTTGGATGCAACGGAAAGAGTTTCATCGTGAAGTATCTGGTAAATACTTTGAAATTCAATCAAGAAAACTAAAAATTAAAACTAAAAATTGCTTCTATGAAGGACTACCCAGAAGCTTTTGAAAAGGGGCAGATTGCTGCAGCATTCTGGATTAGTCCACACGCTAAAGTGTTCGTTGCAAAGCATAAAAGCTACGTCATCGAGTAAACCAGCTTCGAAGTGGGAGACCTTGCTTATGTAAGATTCAAGCCCATGTTAATATGCTCTCTCCATCTTTTTCATTTCTTGGGAAGCCATAAAAGCACCTTTCCACAGCCAGTTTTGAAGGGAACTAGACAAAGATTTTCCCTTCATTACTTGGTTGTTAACTAACCTTAGAACACTAAAGCACTTCGGTTTTCTTATAGGTATTTCCAAAGGTTCCACTGGGTAGCGAAAGAATAATCAGAGCTTCTAGTGGCAGTAATTAACTCTCAGATTTCCTTTGGCCAATTCCCATCCCTCATTCATTAAATCAGCAACACTAAGAAGATCACTATTATGATACAGAAAACCAGCAGAAGAAACCAGCTCGCAAACCAGAGAAGGAACCAGCTGGTGGTAGTTCAATTTCAGTTAAAGATGTTAATTTGTTAGACAGTTAATTCAGTTAACTTCAGGTTGTTAGTTAGACAGTTAGTTAGTTAGTTTGATTGTCTATAAATGTCTAGGTGTATGAAGATGGGATTGAGTCGGTTTAGACACGAAATGACTTAGAACTTGGATGGAGTAGGCTAAATCATGCCTGGTAATTGTGAGATAAATAAGCATGCCAATGAGACGTCGATAAACTGTAGGATCAGGTAATGAGTCTTCATCAGTTGTTGTGAGTTTAAGAGAAGACTCCACAGAAAAGGCCACCGGCTTACAACCCGAAAATCCACAATCCTCAAGTATATCCAAGGCATATTTTCTCTGGCAAAGACTTATGCCTTGATGGGATCTAGCCACTTCCAAACCAAGAATATACTTTAATTCCCCCAGGTCTTTAATTGTGGACTGATCATCTAGGAAATTCTTGAGGATCTGAATTTCACTAAGATTATTGCTTGCAAGGAGAATATCATCAACATAAACCAATAAAACTAGGAAAGAATTATTAGTAGACTTTAATAATAAAGATGAATTAGAATTAGACAGATGGAAACCATATGAGATTAGACTGGAAGGTAACTTTGCGAACTATTGGCGTGATGCTTGTTTGAGACCATATAAGCTTTTGTTAAGTTTGATCTCTTCAATACCACTCCAATTTAGACTCTAATACCCACTAGAATTTGGGTCAAACCACAACACTTACAGGGATCTTTGACAAAATACAATATTAAATCTCAGCCTCCATCTGTCCTCCATACTTCATTCAGAAACATATAACAGTTTAAGTGATGACTTTTGAAGACTTTGATAGACTTTTTTTAAGTGATGACTTTTGCAGATTTCGTGGATTTTTTAGAGATTTGTATGGAATTAGT